ACGCCCTGAACGGCCACTTCAAGCTGAGGGCTTCGCCTCGCCGTGTTTTTACACGCCTTAATTGTTCGCTAATAATGCGGGGTTTGGGAGAAGCACGTGGGAAGTATAGGGCAGCCTGGAAAGAAAAAGAAAGAAAAAAAAAAGAAAAAAAGAAAAACCAACAAAAACCCCAAAGCAACCCCACGAGCCGGCTCGGGTGCTATCAGCTTTTCTCTCTGTACGGAGTCAAAAGGCTTCACGTGGAAGCGGCTGCTCTGTGAAAGCTCGGGGGATGTGAGAGGGGTCTGGCTGCAGAGAGAGGTCGGCGGGTCAGGGAGATAACGCGCTGCCAGCCTCCAGGACACGGCTTGGAATGTCCCCGTGCGTGTCTGTTTGCTTTGGTGCGGCGTGCGAGGGGCTGAGGGTTCGGGGTTTCTTTACAAGAAGCCGCAAAAAAAGGAGTTTTCGATTTTTTTCTGCTCCGTTTCCCCACGATTCAATCCACCCCCGGCGTTCCCGAAGTTTCCATCACTGATCCCTCCGGCCCGGTGCCCCCGGAGCTCCCGGCCCTGTTCGGCTGCGGCCCGACCCGAGGTGCGGTGGCGAGCGGCCAGCAGCGACGTGCCCGCAGGGAGCGATGCGTCCGCAGAGAGCCACCTCTGCTCCCCCCCCCCCTCCCTCCCTCCCTCCTTGCCTCCCTCTTCCTTCTGCTGGAGCCCCGAGGAAATGACCACAACTCATCCTTCCCCGAAACAACTAACTGATCCATCCGTCTGTCCATCATCCATCCGTCCATCCATCCATCCATCCATCCATCCATCCATCCATCCATCCATCCATCCCTCAGCCCCTCACAAGGGCACGGCGCAGCAGCAGCCCTCACCACTTGTGCGCTCCCCCCGCGGCTCTCCCCGAGTCCCGCAGGAAAACCCTGGGGTGGGACCCCCGTGTGGGACCCCCGCCCCCCCCACACCCTGGGTGCTGCCCACCAGGACACGCAGCCCTGCGGCTCTGAGCGCTGCGTGCATTCCCCGCGCACACGGCTGATGAACTTCAAGCAACTCTTCTTTCTTTTCTTTCTCTTTTTTTTTTTCCCTCTCCTTTCTTCTTCTCGTTCTTTTCTGTTTTTATTTTTGTTCTCCTTTCTCTCAAGCCCTCTCTCTCTGCCTGCTCAAAACTCTCCCCCGTGCAACCCTGCAGCTCGGGGCGAGGGTGGAGGCTGAATGATCCCCGCTTCCAAGATTTTCCGAACAATCCTTAAAGAAGGAAACCTTTCTCTCGAAGTCTCTTTGATCTACGAGGCCTGGCGCGCTGTAAGCCCGAGTGCGTGAGGGGCCCGTCGGCTGCAGGAGCCCCCCCAGCCGGGACATGAAAGGAAAAAAAAGGACGGCCAGAGTACGGGGATCGACCGAAGGGCTCGAATATTTCATATTCCTGCTAGCTGTCAAGTCCAAAAGCAACAACCCGCCTCCCGTCGGCTGTTTGCAGAGGGCAGCGGAGTGTGTGCGCGTGAGGGGCCGGAGCGCACCGTGCACCGCGGCCGGGAGAGGGGAAGAGGGCCGTAAATTTGCACTTGCAATCAATCAATAATTAACTAATAACAGAGCGTGGGCCGAGAGGTCCCGGCAGGACGGCGGCGGGAGCGGCCAGATCCCGTAGAGATGGCTCCTGTTCCTCTCCCATCGCCCCACACCCCCATCCCCGAGCTGCTCCGGCCCCACTGCCCCTCTCCGGGGCCGATCCCACCGTTTCAGCCCCGCTTTCCCATAGACTTTGCACCGGCGGCCAAAATTCCTTGAGTAAAACCTGGCAAAACCTGCCACGAGATCCGCTGCCCGACGAGGGAGGAAGGGCAATTCTTCCCTCCCCTCTCCCCGTCTCCCCACGGGACCCCGATCCCCGTTGGGTGTCCCCGCGTTCCCCACCCGAGGTCCCCTCGGGGCCGCCCCGCACTGCCCCGGCTGCCCAAGAGATGGCGCCGCCGCCCCGCCGGACCCCCCCGGCGCCGAGCCCCCCCCACCCAGCGCCGGGTCGCCTGCATCAGCCATAAAACCATTGAGGATATCAAGACAGGCGCCAGGTGAGTAATAGACAGGATAATCCAGAGAGATTGCTCGCTGTTTACCTCCATCCACAAGCGCCACAAGAGTTACTCATTAACGTTACTATATACAAATAAGATACACAAGAGATAAAGCCATTTGCAAGTCAGAGTTACACCTGCGGTACACGGATTTCTTGCAAGGGCATGGGGAGGGGGAGGTCAGCGTTAGGCTCGTGGAAGGGGGGGATGAATCAATCAGGCCGCACCCCTAGCGCCTAAAACACAACAGTGAGCGCCGGTCCGCCTGCAAAGCGGCTACCTGGTGCCTGCAAAGGGAGGAGGAGGCGGCTTGGTTGCTCAGGATCAGCGCTGAGTTTCCTCTCCGACTCCCAGAATCTATCTCCACCCCCCTCCCCCCCACACAGACACCACAACGGCCTCCCTTTGCGGGAGATTGCGGGGGGACAAGCAGGAAGGGAGGGAAAACAAGCAGGCGTTCGTGAAACCGAATGAATGAGAAGAACGATATGGAGGGGGGATAACAGTGTGGAGCTGAAAGGTGCCTTTTTGCCTGCTGTAAGGGGAGAAAGTTGAACCACGAGGCTGCGGGGTGATCGTACGGCCACGGCGGTTGGTAGGGCCGCTGTGCTCCCCACCCGGGGCCGGCAACCCCGGAGACAGCAGAGGATCTGGGTGACAAGCGACATCCATCTCGTGGGGATGCAGCCCGGAGCCTGCTTGTTTGAATTGCTGTTGTTTTGTTTTTGCCAGCCCCGACGCCACCTCTCCGTCCATAAAAGCCCCACCTCTCTCCGAGGCACATCGGCATACCGTGGCATTTCCCCAGCTCTCACCTTGGGCAGGCTGGGAAGTGGGGAGAGGGAACGAAAAATCCTGGGGGTGGGAGAGAGAAAAACTCCACTCAGTTCAAACCCCCAGCAACCTGGCCGGCTGTGTGTCCCAGGATTCAAATACACCCCTAAAAATGGGAATAATCCCCCGAAAAGCGAAGGATACGAAATGAACAGGGAAAAGTGCTCGAGGTGCGCGGGAGGGTCCCGCTGGGTGCCCGGCCGATGTGCTCAGCATCCCGTGACCCCCGGCGCTCAGGGCTACGGACCCACCCCACCCCCCCCCCGGCAGCCGCTCTCAATCGAAGGTGGGGAAATGTCCCTTTCTGCCGGAATTTGCCCCAAAAACGAGCGGAGCTGGCCGGGCGAGGCGGCCGGGGGCTACAGCCAGGGGTCCCCCCCCGCCCCGCACGGTTGGGCCCGGCGGAGCTGCTTTGAAAATAAGGGGGAAAATGCTCGGTGGTCGCGTTCCCCCTGAGCACTTCTTTCTCTCGCCGGCACAGGACCCAGAGGCCGAGGGGCAGGCAGAGCATAAAACAGGATCCGGGCTGGAAGTACATCCTTATAATATTTGTTACTGGCGGAGGATGAATCACTTTCCAATATACGGGCCACTAACTGTTGAAGGGGGGGAAATCTCTTTAACGAGGAGGAATATATATGTTGTGCTTAGGGATGTGCTCACGGGCTGGCAGCGCTGCAGGCGGGGGCTGCCAGCTCCTCTCTCTGCTCCCGGTGACCGCCCAGCCCACGTCCCCCCCCAGCACCACGCCGCTCCAGAGCTTATTCTCAACGTATCCTCAGCCCCACAGCACAAAGGGGCGAACCCCAGGAGGACCCCCCCGGCCCCCCAGCCAGGTGCTGACTGGAAGGATCCATCCCCTGCTCCGTAACCCCAGCAGCTCGGGAACTCTTTACCTGGAAACTTTTGAGGGAGGGTTCTGCATTAAATTTTAACCTATTTATTCTCCGATTCTTCACTTTTGTTTTATTAATTTATGACAGATAAAAGCATCGCTAAGCCGTTCTCATTAACTTTTCAAACGCCACTTAATCTCGTTCCATTAAAAGAGGTGACTTAGTACCCTCTGGATCCGCTTTAAAAGAAGTGTGTGTGTGTGTGTGTGTGTGGGGGGGGGGGGGCGATGGAAAGGTACATTAAGCCGCTTGCTTAAACCGAGGGTTTCCCCGGCCGATCCGTGCGGGATCCTTCCCCGATGAGCTGCGGGGATTGAGAGGAGCGGACAGCGGGGGGGGAGTGGGGGCAGCGCTCGGCCCCCACGGCCAGCAGGTGGGATGGAGGCACAGCACGGGACGCCCGGCACGTTTCAATAAAAATTTATTTGAAACTTCGGCGAGTTTTTAAAAGAGAGAGAGAAAAGAAAGAAAGAAAGAGAAAAAAAAAAAAAAAAAAAAAAAAAAAAAAAAAAAAAAAAAAAAAAACAGAAAGAAAAATACAGGAAAAAGAAAGAAAGAAAAAAACTTCTCGACATCGATATCGCACAAAATATCCCTTCATTTTTTTTTTTTTCCTTTGAACCAACACCTGACTTTCAAGCCAAGAAAATACGCACCCACTCAGACAAAGACAACAGCAAGCACAGTAGTAAAACTCCATCGCATTTCGTGGCGGTTGTTGTTTTCTCCCTTTGACACACCAAAGAAATGGGAAAGAATAACGCAAAGTGAAGACATTCCTCCAGCCATCATCTTTTCTTTCGCCCGAGCCGCCTGCAGAAGCCCGTTGTCGCCGATGAACGTATAGAAAACCCTTTTTTTTTTTCCTTCTTTTTTTTTTCCTCCCGTGGTCGAAATTTGAATCGGAAAGTAGCACTTGAACACCAGGGAGAACGAGGATTTAAAAAGCCATAGCGCGGCTTTGTCGCGGTTTCTCTCGCCGTTCTCTCTTTGTGAGCTCTTTGATGAACGCTGTTCGCTGCCCCTCTGCCTCTTCCAGCCGCGGCTCCTTGCGAGGGGTGAACAGAAAGCCAGGAGCTGAGCTCGGAACCCGCAGGTTCGGGCCGGGCTGCTCTGAGTCGGAGTTGGGATGTGGGGAGGGAGGGGGAGGTAAAGGAGAACCGACTTGAAATGAAAAGAGAAGAAAACAAAAGACAGCTGCAGCCGTATTTACAGAGATATGTACAACGTCAATAAATTAAAGTTTAATTTCGAGTATTCATATTCCACGTATTTACAAGAGTTATCAAATAATTACATAAATACTTTGCTTTAATAATAGTGTCCGCTTTTTTTCTTCTTCTCAGCGTGTTTAAACCTTGTTATTGCATATACAATGGAAGAGGGAAAGCTGTGATAAACCTACAGTCGAGCTACAGAGGTTTTCAGATAAAATAAATCCACTTCTTTTTTTTCTTTCCAGCTACACTTCTTATTGTTGTTGCTACGGGGAGGGTCTTTAAGGGAGAGGGAAGAGGGGTCTTCTTTTCGTTTTTATTATTATTATCATTATTATTATTATCATTATTTTGTCCCTGGGATTCGAAACGAGCATCAGAAATAAACAACGAAAACCCAACGAAATAAAAACGTAACCCCCCCCTAAAAAAGCAGACTACTACGGAACATGCAAAAAAAGCCACCGAGTGGCTCTCAGACATCACGATAATATTTTAAACACACAGCTTCCCTTAATATCGACGCAGAGGGCTGTCGCTACCAACCCGCCCAGGAAACAACTGAACAACTGGCGAATGACCGATATGAGAGTTGCTTATACAGTTTTCTTTAGGAAGAAAAAAAAAAAAAAATCGCTTTGCTTACTTTCTTTTATTTATACGTCCGTTCGCTGTTTTGCTTCGCTTTATTTCAGGCGGTTTTTTTTTCCTTTTTTTTTTTTTTTGCTTTTTTTTTTTTTTCCTTTTTTTTTTTTTTTTTCCCCGTTCTTAATATTTTTTTAGACAGTGAAGAAGGGGGATGGGGGGGTGGGACGCATTCCGGCGGCCCCTCGGTGCGGCAGCCCCCGGCCCGGCTCCCAGCCCGGCCCTTCCCCGTCCTCCCCCCCTCCCCCAGCTCGACACTTTTTGCTGATCAGCGCCCACAAGACGCCGGGCGATTTATATTAAAAATAAAACTTAAACAAACAAACAAACAAACAAACAAAAAACCAATAAAATAAAAAGGGGAAAGGGGGGAGGATAGGAGGGAGGGCTGAAAGGCTTGGCGGGATGGAGGATGTGGTTTCTTTCAAACAAAGTGCATTGCGAGACTGGTTTGAAATGAGCTGGCGGCTACGGGGAGCCGCTGCGGGATCTGTCCTGCTTGGGGTCGAGGCCGCTGACCAGGCGCTGGATGTTCTGCAGTTCGCTGGTAGCCGCCTCCTTGTCGGCTCCCAGCTTTGGGGACAGGGATACCGAGCCGGAGGAGAGCGTGGACGAGCGGCTGGTGAGGTCCGAGGCGGAGTCCAGAGGCACGGCGCCGGGGCTGGAGGCCAGAGCGCTGCCTTTGGTCTCTCCGGAGGTCGCGGCCAGGGCTCCGGGCAGCGCGGTGGTGAGGAGGCTGCTGCCGTCGGGCAGGGGCACGGGCAACGGGTAGGGGCTGTAGCGGAGCCGGGGCCGCACGGCGTTGAGGAAGGGATGCCGGTGCACAGAACTGGAGGCCGCGCTGGAAGCCGCCGCCGCCGCCGCCATGTAGGTGTAGGGGTAGGGGAAGAGGCTGCCGAAGGGAGACATGGCCAAGCCCTGCGGGAGGGGAAGGAGGGAGAGAAAAAGTGTTAGCAACGCGCGCCCGCTTTCTGCCCTCCTCTCCCCTCCACAACATGAACGACAAAACCGGTCAGGTCCGCTCCGGACCCCCGGAACCTCGAAGGCTCAGCCTGGTCCCGCACCGAGGCTGCCCGGAGTGGGGTACAAGGAGCTGGGGGCTCCACCTGGGCCACTCCTCAGCGGCGAGGCTTCCCCAAAGCCTCACACCCGCCCACCCCCAACCCAATTCCTTATGCAGCGAGGGGAGGTGCCCCGCTTGCTTCGGAGGGACACTGGGAAACCTGCGGCAGAAAGAACCTGCCCACTTGGGGCCGTCGGAACGTACCTGAGAGGCCAGGACGTGCTGCTGCAGGTGGAAGGGCAGAGCGGCCGTGGATGCTCCCGAGAGTCCCTGGGCGGCCGCCGTGGCCATCACCGTGCTATCCAGTCCCGAGCCGCCGGCAGAAGCCCCCGACACTGTGGCGAGCAGCGGACCCATGCCCGCGGCCATGCCGGAGAAAGCTCCCCCCATAGCGAACTGCCCGGGGTGCAGCAGCAGTGGATGCCCGTTTCCCAGAGGGTTGAAGAACTGCTGGCCGGCCAGAGCAGGGGGAAACCCCAGGTTCTGCAAATGTCCCTGGCTCAGGTGTGCCGTGCTGTCGGTCTGGACTGTGAGAGGGGCGAAGGGCTCTTTGCCCAGCAGCCGGTTCTCGTCTACTTTAGGGCCGTCCCGAAGGGGGCTTTTCAGTTCCTCGCCGCTCAAGCCTCCCCCCCGGCTGCTGGAGGAGATGGTGGCCGGGCTGTGCCGGGAGTCCGGAGGGGCTTTTTCCGTCCTCTCCCGGCTCCGACTCGTCGCCGAGTCGCTGGGGAAGAAGTGGCTTTTGGAGGGGCTGCCCCCCTTTTCCCGGGGGTCGTCGCTCGCGGCCGCACCGGAGCTGGCCGGCGCGGGGGTGGTGGCCGTGGTCGTGCTGATTTTGCCCGACTCGCTGGCTTCTAGCAAAGGGTCGTCTTTGCTGTCGGCATCGCTGTCACCCTCGCTGGGACAGAGATCTGCAAGACAAAGGCGGCCCGGGGCTGGGAGCCGGCACGGCGCGTCCCTAACTCCCGCCGGGCTGCGGCAGGGTGCGGACGCTCCCTGGCTGGCCGGCAATTCCAACGACAAAGCTGGGGATCGCTTCTTAAGAGAAAAATACGTCCACCCCATCCCCGCCCCGGCTCCCAGCGGGAAGCGAGCATTGGTGTTAGCGCGCCGACTCCGCACAGCCCGAGGACCCGAGGCCTGCCGTACCGCTCACCCCGGGGGCGGCAAACCCCGCCCGCCCGCCCCGTCGGGGTTCGTCTCCTATCAACTTTTCCAAACTTTGAAGCCCTTTCGACGGTCGAAAGTTGTAGCTTTCCCCCTCCTCAGCCTCTGTCAAGCTGAGGACCCCCCCTTCTCTTCCTTCCCAAAACGCTTGCCGGATTCCTCTGCACTTCATCTCCTAATTTCAGCGCCCCAGGTGTGAAGATCTAGTTTGCTTTTCGGGTCCCCTCCCAGCTCCCCTCCTCTCGGCTCGGCAGGACTTTAAACAAACGAGTAAAGCAACAACAAAAAAGAGGTTGTTTCCTCCTCCTTCTGCGCTTCCCCCCCCTTTCTTCCACCCCCCCCCTCCTCCCCCCCCCCCCACCCGGACGGATTAATACATGTGAAAGAACTGCAGACAGCTTCCAAGCCCGTACGGAGAGAAAGAAAAGAGGGGGACTTTTCTATAACAAAGTTCGGGACTGTATCCAGGGGAAAGATCCTTCCTCTAATAACAGATTCAGGGAGGAATATTAATGGAGTGACTCCAGTTTTGAACTTTTGCCCCGTGGTCTGTCTTTGCTCCCTTGACTCGGAGCTGGCTCCTTTCTGAAGCGTGGAGGGGAGGAAGGAGCAGGAGAGGGGCCGGGAGAGAGGGAGGAGAAGGGAAGAAGGAAAGGGAAGAAAGTGCAAGCAGAAAAGAGAAATAAGGAAAGAAGGAAGGAGGGGGAAAAGAGAAAAAGAAGGAGATTGGGAAAGACAAAGCAAAAGAAAGAACAAGAGTGGGAGAAAGGAATGGGAGAAGAGAAAGAAAAGGGAGAAGAGAGAAAGGAAAGAGAAAGCCGAGGGGAGGCAGGAGGAGGGCTGTGGCCACGGCACAGAGATGCACACCGAGCTCCGTGCCCCCGAGCAGGACTTGGCTGTCCCTACTGCACCTACAGGGCCGGGGCTCAGCGCTCACCTTTGAGGCTGGAGGTGCCGACGGCGGGCACGGCAGGGCAGGAGGACTGGGCGAAGCACTTGAAGGCTGTCTGCTCGTTGGACGATTCGTCTGAAGTGGGATTTTCTTTTTTCTGCCTCTCGTCATACACCCGCATGGACTGCAGGGTCAGCTGCTTCCTGCCGGGTACACGGAGCTGCTGGGAGAGCGGCACCCTGCCCCCCCACCCCAGGCCCCCAACACCCCATAGGGATGTCCTCTAAGGGGATCCCACGTCCCTTAGAGACCCCATGGGTGGGGTGTGCGGGGGGACAGGGGCCGGGGGCTCGGGGGAATGCGCTGCTCGCAGGCAGAGCCAAGAGCTTGGCTGCTAATGAGAGGAGATTTCTTGGAAGCTGTTAGCAGCAATCCTGAGTACGGCAGATATTAAAGAATAGGAAGGGGGGCGGGGGGGGAGGGGGGTGGCAGAGGGAACCGTTCCCTGGAGATTAGCTTTTAAAACGCGAGGATGTTCCAGAGATATGAGCCATCTTAATGGTTGCTAAGATTGCTAGGAAGTGGTTATTTTGTTAGGCACTTTATGTAATCTTTTCACCAACAATTAACCCGGAGTAAAATCTATTTATATTTAGAGAGAAATTAGAAATCATTTCCGTCCTGTGGCTCCAGCATTGGCTTTATTTTCACACTGACGGACAAGAGGAGCTGGCGTGTGTGCATGTGTGGTATGCTGGGCTGAGTGCTGGGCATGGAGAAAGGCCTCTTGTTTGACATTACAACCCCCATTCTCCCTCCTTTTTTTTTTTTTTTTTTTTTTTTAAAGAAAGAAAAGGAACAGACATATTTATTCATTATCTAAAACTGATTGCAAATGGCTAAAATATCCTGTCTGCTGTAACAAAACAAAACGATGACTTATTCCACATCAAGATTGGGGGGGGAGGGGGGTGGAGGGAGAAAAAAAAGATCCCTTTCTCTATTTTGGCCAGTATTTAAAAAATAAAAAAAAATCACGTTCACTACTCAAAGCGGTCTACTGGTGTTACTTCCATATTCCCAGGGTCCTATCAAAGTGGTTTGTTTTTACGTTTCTCCTCCACGCTTTTCAGGAGAGTCAGTAGGAAAATGCTGGGGGAGATCTGAGCTGCCCTCCCTTCTCCCCACTCCATCCCAGCCACAGCGTGTGGGGGTGTGAGATATTCCTGCCAGGACCTAAAGGAAAACTCATTGCCCCAGTGGCATTCACCGCCTTTCCCCTTCATCTGCAGCCACCGCTTTCTTGCCGGCCTTCCCGTGCAATGCAAAAAGTAAACGGGGGAAGCACGGAGGAGCCCACGTGCAATCGGTTTGGCGTTATTAACGATGAGATCCTTATTAATTTTGGCGGGGGGATGTGTGGTTTGTAGGAAACGCGAGGTGATTTTAACCTCTGGTCATGTTCTGAGCCTTGCACACGAAAACCAAACGAGGCGCCCATGTATGTTTCCAGACTCACCTTTTTTCCCTCCTTCCATTCCCAGTGTCGCGAAAACCTTTGGCAAAGGGGTTGTTGTCAATTTTTAATTGAGTGATCTACAGGGAGAGAAGGAAAAAAGAAAACCAAAAGCGAGGTTGGGGCAGAAAGAAGGAGATTTGGTGAAAGAACAACCGGCACGACCTCCTCCTCCCCACTTCCCACAGCCCAGGCAGCAGCAGCCGGTGCACAGGGCGGGATTTTGGGGTGAATCCCTGCGTTTTGGGGCTGGCCGGTGAGTCGGGCAGTGGTGGCAATGAAGGAGCCCCACATCACCACCGCCGCATCGGCGTTCAGTTAGCCATGCAACGCGATCCATGCGAGTTATGCCTGCGCTTAAACTCTTTAAATGCCATAATTAAACCGCAAAGGAATCATACCCACCCCCTCGCCATAATAAAATACTTCGTATAATCGCATTATGCCCCGCACGTGTGCGTGTGCTGGGGCTCTGGGGGTGCCAGGAGCGGGCTGATTTGGGCTGATCTGGGCTGGCAGGGATTTCGGCGGTCGTTTGGGGGATTCTATGGGATCCGGTCTTGCTCCACAATTCTGGAGGAGAGCGGGACCCAGTGAGCAAACAGCTTTGGACCCTGAGCAGCACCGGCTCCCAGGTTCCCCCCTCCAACTCCTCCTGCTCATATAGACAAGATAGAGCAGGGAAAACCCTTGACAGAAAAGGTGAGACCCTCAGCTATGCGATCTGGACAGTGCTCCTGACCTCCACTCCCCATCACCCCCCCCCCCCCCTCCAACCCCCTTTGTGATATCAGAGCATTTGGCTGGGGCTGCTGCTCCGTGCTTCCAGCTGCGGGCCGGCCGGACAGTCCCATGTGTAACTCCCAAAGCAAAGTCTGCTCTGCACGCGTTCACCTTTCGTTTTCTTGCAAAAAGGTGAGCAAAGCGAGAGCAGCGCGTGCCAAGCACCGCCAGAGAGGGGATCTGAGGAAAGGAAGGGTGCAGCCCCTCCTTATGCCTGGCTCTGGGCCGTGGGGGACGGCAGCGGATGGAGGGACGGAGCGAGCGGGATCTGCACAGCTCTGCTCTTCAGGCACATGCACACCAAGTTCTAATTTATAGACAGCAAAATAAGAGCCCCTTCTTGGCTCTTTCACTTCCTTCCACTTGACTTAATTATTGTAAATTCGCCTTTTGCCAGGCTCCCAAATGTGCCACCTTCGTTGAGAGCGACAATAAAGTGGCAGAAATGGGGAGGCAGCGTCTGCAGCGCTGCAAACTTTCTCACCCTGTCTCTGTGAGACCTTCCAGCTCATTTCGAGCGAGATACTCCTCTCTGATCAGAGCATATTTCTGCACCACAAAAAATAATAAAACACTGCAGGATGAAAAAAAATATCATAATATAATAATAATAGGAACCAGACGTGCACTCCAGCCTTATTGCCAATTGCTGTTAAAGGAGCTAAAACAGCACAAAGGCCAGGAAGAATTACAAAATCTCCAGCCACGCTGCTCTCTCCCCCCTGTCTTTCGACACACGGATCAGATTCTTTTTCTGATGCGTCTTAGATTAAATCCACACTGAAAGCAGCGATCCCCACCCCATCCTTCCCCCTTTCCCCACACCGGGGAGCAGAAAAA